TGGAAAGAATATAAACGAAGTAGTCTTTTCTATAATAAAGGTCCTTGTATTTCCCACTGAATGAAAAACAAAACGACATTGTTTTTACTGACGTTTCGCTACTCGATGCCAATGGCTTTATCGAAGTAGTCTTTCCTACTTATCTGAACAGGCAGCATCCTTTCAGCCACAAGCGGCATGGATGAGAATGTCAAGGCCGGAATGGGATAGGCAAGACACGCCACCTGTCAGTGTTGGTGAACAGTGAATGGTTTATTCGAAAGGATCTCCATTCCGGTTGGAGGTAACAGTGGTGGCCGTGGCCTAATCGTACGTTGTTTGGCAGAAGACTGAAGAAGAATTATCAGAACAATCACTCAGTTTTGTAGTGAAAATGTAGTCCCGTTCATTATCGGTGAAAAAATAAATAGTAGCCCAACCTTCAGCCTGCTTTCTGATATTTCAAGTCGGTTACCTCATGCAGTATCGTGATGCGGTGATACGTTTTCTGATGGCAGTACTGCGTTCGAGAACTTTCCCGATCTGGACAATTAACACTGTTTGACCAATGTCTCTTGTGACCTCTAGGACGAAAGCTGTTTGAAAATCACATGCACCTCTATCCTGTGCTATGATCTAACACTTCCTCCTTCAGGTGCAACGGATGTTTCGGCCTATAGTATGGGAGCAATAGTTTTGCATTTTTCCAAGATGCCCCACAGAAAGTGGTCATTTATGTACCTACATCTCTCATTTGTGCAGAGAAATACAAGCTCAAAAAGAAATCCTAGCCTTATTCCTCCCCACAAGACGTTTCCATAAAGTAATCTGCTGCACCTAATCAGTCTTTTTGACATATCACAAGGAGTTACTTTCATTTAATGACTCAAACCTAGTAATCTTCAGATTTGTACCGATTAACTAAAACACTGCGCGATCATACTACTCTGGTATGATTCTGACATCAAACTGGATTAGATTAATGCCATTCGAAAATCTGCTGTTCCGTATCACCTAGTGAGTGATTACTCAACCTCAAGCAAGTATACTGGGAGGTTAGTGATTGTCTCCACGGCTCTGGAGCTCACTGTATAGGTAGCGCTCTTAGATCATAATTCACCAGTATCACCCACATAGGATTATGAGTTCTGAAGTGCCAACCCACGCTCATTGGGGGAAACCGATATTTAATCCCCCTTCTTTCCTAATCAAGTCTGTCATTCTCGAAGTGTTTGAACGCCAGCCATCGCTTCTGAGTTATCAACAAAAGCTTTAGTAATAAAACAAACACTTTATCCTAAACAATAATAAGTATGCTGAATGGAATTTTCAGCGCACTCATATACATTGCAACAATTCAGTCTCTTATAAATATGTGCATAAGATTTAAGATGGTAAAATAATATTAGTGATAAAACCACTATAAGCAGAATTTTAGTGGAAACATATTGAGGTATAAGTAATAGAAATATATATAAATAATACACGTAATAATAATCTTTGCTTATACTTTGCATTTTAGTTACTGATTTAAACGTTTATAAGTTCTTTTCCGATACGAGACTCTTCACAAAAGACCCATGCTATATATGGCATGTTAGAATTTTTGTATTAAGTTGCACGAGAGTAAAATTTTATGAGGTTTCTTCTGGTTTTACCTGAAGACATAAAAGACAAGAGTTGAAAATTAAAGACGATCTTCAGTATCAGACAAGAAAACTTTTGTGGAATGCTTTCATGAATTGAAGCACCTGTTAACAATAATGTCAGCTAGCTGGATCAAAGGCACACCACTACCCTTACTCACAGTCCTCAGTGTCCCACATGATTTAAAGTCTTTTTAAGAAGCCCAGCAGGGAAGAATGCTGGTTAAGAGTAAAGGAGAATGGGCAGAATACATGAATTAACAAATTGTAAGAGAAGGGGTTGAGTTATGACAGCAGAAAGTCTCAACTTCTTTATGTAAAAAGCAAAATGAAAACTTTTCTTGGAAATCAACAGGACGTCGGATGACCAACAGAGATTCGTCGAGAAACTGATGCCAAGGTGAAAGATATTCGATTTACCCCTGTCACAGCGCCATCAGTGTCACAGGAATCATGTGACTGAATCAGTCCACTCAAGTCTTGTTCATATCTGAAACTAAAATCAGCAATATGACATTTAGATGGGTTCAGTTTAAGACCATTAAGGTGAGACCATTTGTTAACTTCAGACAAGAATCTATTCATATGAGAACAATCCAAAGCAGAAACTACTGGGACAGAAATGGTTAGATCATCGGCATATTTAATGAGGTTAGCTTTGGAAGAATATGGAATGTCATGCAAAAAGAAATAAAGAGAGTGCATTGCCAAGAGACAGGACTGTTTCCGTCAGCAACGAAGTGGAGCGCCTCCCATTCAAAACAGTATGTTGTTTTCTACCCGAAAAATAAGAAGAAAACTACTTTGCTACTCAGGACTTAGTGCCCGCTGAAATCAGCTTGCTTAGTAAAAGTGTTCTGAGAACAAACTTAGCACCTTTACCAAGACTTGAAACAATATTGTAGTGGAGTACAAAGACAGTATCTTATGTACTTCTACTGCATTTGTGAGCAAACGGCTTTGAGTCATTAAAAGGTTACAAAGAAGGTTTGGGAACATGCAATAGAAGTTTCTCCATAGTTTTCAAAAATTGAGACATGGTGGAGATCGGCCTAAGCTTTAGACCTGATTCAGAAGATAACTCTAGTAAGGGCACCACCTCTATTTCTTTCCAGGCAACAGGTGCTGTATACCCGTGAAACGATTCATCAAAGATTTAAGTAAGGGAATAACACAAAACATCAACACACTCTTGAAGCATAATGCTAGGTACTCCATTGGGTCCTAGGCTGGATGGGTTTAAGGATCTGAAACATATTAATACATTCTTTTCATTAAAACCAAGTAAATGATCATTTTCGTGACTAGAAACATCAGGTCTAGTCATTTTAGCTAGTTGCATTATAAAAGATCTACTTAAGGCATTTACACTAGGATAAGCACTAACTGAAACTTGTTTTCTGCTTGTGAGTCGATAAAAAAGTCTCCAGATATTAGAAACATTTTTACATGATGACAATTTTTCATTATATGTCCAGTTCATCCTTTGTATTTTAGACTTTATCAGAGAGCTTGCTGTCCGAACACCTGAATTTTTATGTGATTTATACAGTTTCTCTACTACTCCTCTAAGCTTTTTTAGTTGAAGAAAAGAGACCCTGTCGAATCTTGTGAACGGTGTTTCAGTAGGACGGAAAATGTCCAAACAGAACCCGAGGTAGAAGATGATATTAGAAACACTAACGTCAAAGAATAAGTCCCAGCCAGTATCATATCACATACGTCTTAGTGCTTTAGTGTTGTTATGTGAATAGGGTTTTTCTTTCATTTTCTTTGTTAGATAAACAAAGGACCTTCTGAGAGACCTGTCATACACTTTGGCTCAAATATGAATAATCCGGTGGCCAGAATTCGGCAACGGAGCTCTTCTTCGAACCTCGTATATTTCACTATCATTTAACAGAACTAAGTCTAGGTTTTTGTCCAGATGAGTATTGAATCTGACCAGGTTCTCATTACCAAGTGATATGAAAAAGCTGTGATCACAAGAATTGACAAGGAATTTCTCAAAATAGGGGTGGCAAATCCAGTAAATTGATCTGCGAAGATAGGTACGTCAGAGGAACTGCAGTCTGGAGTCATATAAACATTTGCCATACATGTTGGGCGACACCTAACAGTTATACAGTCAGTAATATCATTTGAAAACTTAAAACATACATGGTTAGATGTAAACCATTTTATATTATTAAACTAGATTCCCCTACGCCATGATTTTTCTTTGAACTCTGTCCGTCATGACGGAAAAGTTTATATCCATTTGATGAGAATAGATTGTCGTCATATTTCTGATGGAAACAAGTCTCTTGTATAGCTAAAACACGAGCATTTGGATACATATTCGGGGATATTGTAGACTGTAGATAGTCCGCTTTGTTAGGCAGAGACCTGCAACTTCGGGGACAGTCATATGAATAATTTCTGTGCGTTTTAATGCCTATAGCAGATCAGAGTGATTGCCCACAATTTTTGAGGATGACTGGACGCGAAAGGCTGTAAAGATTTTAAAATATGCGGTTATAAATAATCCGACTTCGTTGTGATTGATTAAAACAAAAATACGGGAGCAAGTCCAGGCAAATGTAAATTGATGAAAACTGGTACTTGTTTTTGGTAGCCCGAAATTCAAGCAGGCTGGGAAGCAGTGTGTTAAGGGTGGACAACTAGGCAGCAAAAGTAGGGCCATGCCAGGTCAATTATCCATCCAAAGTGGCAGAGAACTAATCTCTCAATGTAAAGAAAGGTTAAGAACTTAGCTCCTAATTTCAACTGACCCGAAATCGACTAATTCTTCCTGATCTCACTCTTCAGTTTATCCTTTTCGTTCGTTCACTGACCGATTTTTATTTATATTTATGTGTTTATTTCTCCCCTTCAACATCTTCTACTGTTGCTCTTATCATGATTATCTAATCTTCAGCCCCAGTAAAGTGACTAATGGGTGACAGCAACTACTTCGATCGTGGCAGCACCACCGTCTCAACACACTTTGTACTACAACACAAATATACTCAACTTCCAAATCAACCAATCCCATCAGAGCTACCAAAGCAACAGCAGACTCGTTGCCAGAGTTAACAAGCAGCAACTAATCAGAGATCAAGGATCCTTTGGTCATGGAAAAGCATCCGTCTCAAAAAAATCAATTCTGCTCACATTGGTTCGTTAAAAAGGATATCGGATATCTGATACATTGGAGAATAAATTATCACCTTCTGCTCACTGAAGCCGTAACGGCCAGTGAGAATGATCATTCTCCAGAAATCTAGAACTTTTCAGAGTCAGGTAACAAGATGTTAGCAGGTTTACACAGGGTCATTATGAAGGTATTGAATATTGGATCGGATCGCCATCTGTTTTGATTTTTTGCGTAACATGGGTTTATTTTTGCCTCGTCGTTCGCTACTTCATTTTATCACAACTCTGATTTTACTAGAATGTTTTACCGCACAGAAAGAACCTAGCTGTAGCCGTGCAAAGAACTGTAATGAGTGCATGGGAATACGTCCTGCCTGTTCATGGTGTACTGCTGATGAATATGATGATACTAAAGAAGGACCTGGATTTCGATGTGCGCCAACATCTGTTTTATTATCGCGTGGTTGTCCTAAGGATAGTATAGAGAATGTGGAATCAACGGTTTTGGGTGAGTTAAACTTTATCTCAATTACAAAGACATCTCGAGTTAATTCCCTGCTTGTAAACAAAATTTCTATACATATATTTTCATTTTTATCGTGATAAATAGTTCTTTGGGACCTAATTGTGTGCTTGTTATATTCCGCCGCTGCTTCGGCTTTAATATACATCGAAGGACTAACAGTTCCTATATAATATTAGGTGTTTATGCAGATACGGTTACTTCATACTTCATGTTTTCAGATTCAGACTAGGTTTTTTGTTTTGGGTGTTAAATTTTTTATAATAAGTATCTGCACTTGTTTAGCCCTTCCTTGAGTCTGTCAATTAAGGGCACGCACCACTTCTGAGAGTCAGTTATTAGAGCTTATAGGAGAACCACTACACCACAGTGACGGTTCCCCCTTGGCTTTTGAACTTCCCCGCTACGCGCTCTGAGATCTCACCTGATGAAAAGAAAAAATAAGATATATCAGGCCCATAGCCATATCTTGGGATTTTGTAGGTCACTGATTCCTCTGCCTGCGATGTGATAAGGAGGGATTTAGACTGTCTGGTTTTTCCTTGTAGGATTAGTCAAATACAAAGTCGTGTGATCTTCATTTAAACCCTTTTTATGATGTATGAGTCTCGGTTGAGACGAGGACTGGCTATCTGCGTGAGGTTTTCTAGTTTTCATCTATATATATATATATATATATATATATATAGTCAGGTTTTGTTTTGGCTTCCTTTCAGTGATTCGCTGGTTAGTACTCAATACGCTTAGGGATTTGTGATAATTATTTGCATACCTTAGGATTCATATTTTCACTGGAAAGTCTTGTTGATGGTCTGTTATTTAAAAATCTGTTAATGAATTCACTGATCTTTGTAGGTAAATAGGTGGTTTAATTGCTTTACTAACCTTTGGTCAACTAATTCTTCCTTTCAGTGTAGGCTTCCGTATTAGTTATAGTGTACAACCTTTTCATACCCTTCGAAAAATGCAGTTCTTTCCAGTAAACTGAAGATTTTACAAATATCAATGGTTCCTTTCTTTAGCATTATCCACCAAGTGAGATTTTATTTCTTTTTGAATTCTACAGCACTTACACTAATGATCCTTCGTTGTCCAGTTGTTGCATGTAGTCAAATGGTTCTAATTTAAAATGTCATGTAAAAGAAATCACGTTGAGGGAGTTCATTAGAATACCATTGTTACTTGTCATAACTTATGTGACTTGTAGACCAGGTTTTACACTATTTTACTGATATTAAAATAATACATCAAGAGTTTGTCTTTTGGTCTGTTTAGATAAGATTGGATTGTGTAATCAGGTCGTACGTGGTAGAAATATACAGTTATAGACTTCAGGTTATGTGGAGCAAAATCGAACTTTGTAGTGCAGATGCTCGATACTTTAACTGCCTGTTAATCGTTGTATGACAATTCTTTTGTCGTTTTAGCTCTTTCTCCTTATGGCCTCAGAAAGTCGGTTATGTTTTCGATTTCCCCATTTTGATTACCTTATACTTGATGATTTTATGGCAATGTGAAACGTTATGCAACTTATTTTGAATACTATGTTGATATTCTTCCTTTTTCTTTATTGAACTTATTTTAATCAAAATGTGTGTATCATGACATCGCTCTTTTTAGATCATGGGGTTACTCATGAGCAAGTCAGTTCGACAGAAGACATACAGCTTACTCCGCGATCTCAGTCGGTTAATGTTCGGCCTGGAGGCACCATGGTTGTGAACTTCACCTTTCAGTCAATTTCGGATTATCCTGTCGATCTTTATTTTCTAACTGATCTCAGTTATACGATGATCGATGATCTGGAAACAGTTTCCCGTTTAACAAATGATATTGTATTAACTATGCGTAATGTTACAAAGAAATTGCAAATGGGATTCGGTGCATTTGTGGACAAACCAGTGTTTCCTTTTGTTGTACCTACTCCTGAATACCTTCGGAATCCCTGTTTAAATGTTGGAACCAAGAATCTTCACTGTGACCCTCCATTTTTATACAAACATATTCTGTCTCTAACTGATAACTTCGAAGAGTTTCGAGAGAAAACCAAAGTTGCACGTGTAAGTTGTACTATACCTACTTTTTGAATTCCTTCGGAGCCGTATTCTAATGAAATGTTACTTCAGTGCATTTCCCACCGATGATTTTTACACTGGATAAGTAGTTTTTCTAACGATACTGATGTCCTAAATCTACGGTTAGTAAACTACTCAACCTTATATATTCTGTCGATTCTTAGGGTTTTACGTTAACGATTAGTTCTGCTTAAGACTTCCCAACCTCTTTTCTTACTTTATGAACAGTTACTTATAGTGTATAAACGAATCTCATTTTGTGTTTTCTAATCACTGATAAAATATTCTAGTAAGTGTGTGTGTTCCAGTCAAGGCTTAAGGGTAATCGTGTAGCCAGCTAAAAATGATTTCAGAGAACATGGTGAAGTGATGTGCTGCTGAAGCCCTATGTACCATTCGGAACCCAAGGGAATTAAATTAATACTGATATCCTCGACTATGAATCATTTGATTATCAATTTTATTCACTTTGTAGGTACTACTGCTACTTATCATAGCCCTTTGTGTAAACCTACATTAGAAGGGTGAACTATATTATATTCTTTTGTTGATTTTTCATATCGGAATTCAACAAATAAGACGAATGCGTTATCATGTAATGTTACACATTCTTATTGATAATCTATAATTTAGTCTACAGTAGTTATTTATTTGTGAGTTAAAAATGAGATCTCGATATTCGTTCCTGCCTTTTTTGTTTGTAGCAGTGATGAATGACAAGTAGTGGTTATTATATTCATTGATTTGTGATTATCATCAGCAAATTTTTTTCCAGTACATTGTTAACTCAACTTCAGGCACTTTGTTTAATTCATCGTAAATTGTTCTTTTTACAGCCCTCAGGTAATTTAGATAGCCCCGAGGGTGGTATGGATGCATTACTTCAAGTTTCGCGATGTGCAGAAATCATCGGATGGCGTGCTGGTGCTCGAAAGATTGTATTATTTGCCTCTGATGGTGGTTTTCATTTAGCCGGTGATGGTCGAATCGCTGGATTAATACGTCCTCCTCCAACCACTTGCCAACTTACCTTTCAGGCTGATCGATTCAATTCTTCACTTAAATACCTCGGCTGGCATAATTCTGATCAAACTGACTATCCTAGTGTCGGAGAGGTAAGTAATACTTGTGTTTAGCAGACGTATTGTAGAAACAAAGTTTGACTGCACTCATCTTAGTAAAAAAAATGATTGTTTCGAAAGTAGAATGGTGACACTTTTAACCTATGATGTTAGCAACATATTGGTTTGCCTTCTAAAAATTTTGTTCATCTCTCGGTTCTTTGAAATGTAAAAATGAATTAATAACGGTTGTAGATACAAAAACTTATACCACACTGTTCTAAGTGTAGTTTCTGATGGTATGACATGCAACAATTATGTATCCAGTGGCACAAACGAAGTATTACCTTCCTTAATAGATTAAAAATAAAATTATACAATCAAATTTCAGTAACAGTCAACCGCCATTTAGTAGTCAGTGTGTTACGCGTCGAAGTTTGAATCCCAGTCATCCAACGTGGACACACTCAAGGCTGAACGTCTGTTGGAAGGTAAAGAGCAAGTTGGAAAGTTTTTGTAGTGGCCTAGTGTTTACTGTTAATTCAAAAATTAATGGTAACTTAGTAGTAGAGGTTATTGGCATCCTGTAAATAAATAAACTTAGGTCGGAAGAAATGATTTGCAGTTCAGTGAAGTCTCATATGTTTTTGGGAAAATAACATGGTAGCGAAGGAAAAGCAGGAAGTCATGTTTAAACTGACGTCGGTGAAAAATACTGTGAACGTAATTCTTTCAAACCGTCACTGAGCCTGTAGTTATTGAAGTAGTTTCAGTAGTGAGATATAGTAGTTGTCTGTCTTCTGTACTTTATATTATTATTCCATTGGTTCCCGAGTGGGACACAGGGCTTTAACAGCACACCTGCACTTCGTCCTGCTCTCCGCGGTCCTCTTCAGCTGTCTCCACGATTGCCCATAGGCTCTTGTCTCCTCACACTATCTCCTCCATGCCACCCTCGGACGCCCAACGTGTCACTTCCCATTGGGGGGTTCCACTTGAGAAATAACCTGGCGCGCGATGTCACCCAACAGTCTACTCTCCGTGTGTCCGATCCATTTCCATTTTCTTCAGCACATTTGTTGAGCAATAGGTTCTTGGCTTGTTCTTTCTCCAAGTTTCTTGTTGATAGCTCTTTCTGACCATCTGATCTTCAGTATCGAGTGAAGGCAGCTGTTGATAAGAGTGTCTTCTGTAAATAACAATAAATAAATTTCTGGTTACCTTGTGGTCAGTGTAAGTCGAGTGTTCTAGTTCATCTACCTAGATTAGTGTTTTGATTGCAGCATAGGTGGTTCACTGGTAAAATACTTGCCAGTCATACAGGACGACCTGCTTCGATTTCCCATTTGATACATTGGTAAACGACGAAAGAGGAAAGGTTAGGCATAAGTTTAGCAACCCTATCCCGTAACTACAGCACCACCGCTACTAAAACTTCAAAGCTTAAAGCCCCATTCTCCACTCAGAATGTAAAGGAATGAGGAAAAAAATATTTCTTTTGATTTGATCTATATTTGTAACTTAATGAAAGCGGACAGACAGCCATTTGTTGAAGTTCCTTCAAAATTTTGAAGAATACTTTCAAGTACAAACTACCAGTTAGCAGATCTTTGTGACTGGTGATATGATCTCGTCGACAATTGATATGACTGAGTGGACTTAAACGGGGGTATGATAACGCTGAACGCAATCGACAACTCAATTGAAATGCCAGATAGGGTTATTCGTCCTTAGTACCTTCCGCTTCACTGAGGCACGTAAAAGCAAAGGTCAAAGATTGGCCTGGGACTGTTAGGATACGGACCTTTATTAAGAAAAAACATCATATTTATACATTTCTAACTATATTAAAATTCGGCCAGGCCAGTGGTAAATAAATTATTCTGGTTGGTTGGCGGTTAGCCAAAGGTTCGACAATGAGACCAAAAGTTGTCCAACGAGGTTGTTTCATGTCCATATCATAAACTAGATCCGGATTCGAAAATTAAACACTTCTACCTCTCCAGCCATTGACTTAAAATATTGGTTTCAAGTTTAGCCGCTTCCCATGAATTGGGTCCTTCCTAAGTAGGAGTTTTAAAATGTCATACTAATTACTAATTTCACTGCAAACTGTCACCACCATCAAAAGAAACTTTCCCAATCTATGCACTTCATTATGTCATTAGTTTAAATGAATTGAAAACAAGTGTGTGGAATTTCGATTTAGTAACGGACAAGTTTAACTGTATGCTATTTTGAATGTTTTGTCTTTTCTGGTTAGTTTTTTTAAATATTTTTATTTTATTCCTTTTGCATCCCCAGTGAAATAGGACTTCAAACTTGAGCTTTAAAGTTTCTATAGCATTTTGTGCTGTTTTTTACGGGGTGGAGTTACTAGCCTCACGCCCAGCCTACCCTCTTTATCAAGCTTAATTCCAGTTAACAGAGGTTTAGGAGTGCGTCGGCTGGGGGTCTTCTGGTCGAAGATGTAGGTATTATTTGATTGGGCATTTGATTCAGGTAGTTGATTGATGGTTAGTTCAAGATTAGAATCCTTCTAAGTTATGATAATTAATGGAAATTTAGTGACTATCCTTTTGATAAATTCATAAATGATATATGCAGAAACATATCTCGGTAATGCTACTCGATTTTTTACGAATAACTGATTCTACCTGAAAACTGCATAAAAGTTGAAATTTGAACATTGCCCTTAGGTGGCTTACTTTAACAGACTTATCCTCGCTATCTTGTTAAAAAGACACTGCGTAATGACTTCTTTGAAGGTTTATTTGAAGAGTAGTCGTAACCTTTGTCTAAAGTTTCAACAAGATGGAATTCTTACTTATTAGTGTTTGAGTGTGTCATCAGTATATTGTCATTTGAGCATGTGAAAACGATTGACTGTTAGGGTGTGCAGCTATATAAGTCTTATTCTTTAATACAAAGGTTAGGACTGAACGTCATTGACTTCAATATAACGACCTGGGTGGTGTCTTTAATACCCACTCAGTAGTTCAGCCTGACATTCTATCTGTTCAATAACAGTCGTATAGATTAGTTTTCGTACTCTCCTTTAACTTACCATAACAGTCTCTGATTTTCAACTGAAAATAGACTACATTCTCACTCTCATATGTACAAGTCACTTTTTCTTTAATCTAATGTCCTGGAAGTTTTCAGCATTTTTCCAGCTCATTTTTCACTTTTTTTTCGGATAGATTGCTCAAGTTCTAACTGAAGCTGATATCAGTGTAATCTTTGCTGTGGATAGTAAATTACACGGATTATATACTAAATTAGCAGAATTCCTACCGAGTGCAGCTGTTGGCATCCTAAGTGATAGTTCAACAAATATCGTCCGCCTATTACGTGATAATTATGATAAAATTGTTAACAAAGCTGAATTAATGGCTACATATGATGCAGATTATTTAGAAGTAAGCTGTTTTAAAAATTTTTTTCGATGGTTTTACTCGACATTACAGCAAAGAGGTTTTACTGGTTGGTTGGATATTTTGTACTCCGTTTTTTTATGAATTGAATAACTGTGATAAAATTAAAACAAGAGGTGGCTAGTTAGTTGTAAGTTAAAATCCTAATTTTGCATAAAACTGTGATCAGAACTTTCAGTGCTCCTGTGAATATACTACATCAATTTTCAACTGGTAGTCGGATAGACAGTCTACAACCCAATCAATAGTATAGTTTATTCAAATGTGTAAATATTTTGATAGTACAGTAGTAAATTGAGTGGACCAATAAATCAAAAAGTGGGTAATTAGAACCACATGGTAATGGGATGCTCCATTTCTAGGTCTCGCAGTCCAACTTTACCTAATGACAAGAAGTCTCTAATCATCGGTCAATGATCAACTAAGATTAGCACATTATAACTTTTGTTTTTTTATCCGGAGGCTTTTTCACTGTACTATCACATCGCCGAATAGCTATATTATTCGTGTTTTGATGGAATGTGAATGCCTATATATATATATATATATATATATATATATATATATATATATATGGGGTGGACGTTTCGATAACGCCTAGATGCAAAACATTTCCGAACTGTTTGTTTGTCTATCGAGTGAAATATGCTTCATTGATTTAGCCATTCAAGTTTCAATTGATTATCCTAGGCTCAATTCATAGTTTATGTGTCGTTAGCATTCATTAACGTATTGTATTTTAATACGTAAGGAAACTCTTCATTTCTCTCAAAACTCGAGATTGTGTTATTCTGTGTTATTTTCAGAAACCTTGTCAACAAGTCGTGTTTAGAACACTAGTAACTTTCTATGAGATTCAGTTATGTGTACGTAAGTCAAGCAGTGTAGAAATAATGATGTGAAATATTAGTTCGACTGCGATCATCAGTAATATGATCCATAATGTGGTTCACTATCACGACAGACGAGGTTTAGAGAGGAAGAACGAGAGAGAGACAATCCCTTTCTAATTGTCACGGTCACGTGAAAATCACGTAAAATATCTTTATTATTATTATTAGTATTCTCCGTTTGCACTCCTCTCATTAGGTTCAAGTATTCTCCAAGTGTAATGGAGAAAGTGAATTCTCAAAGAAAACTGTATGTAATGATCATCCAGTTGGTGGACGAATAAGCTATCAGATATCTGTAAAAGCTAAACGATGTTTTGAAGGCGTCAAAAAAGTGGTCTTAAAAATGGTTGCCTTAGAAGATCAAGTAAGTATGAGTATATTATTATTATTATTATTTTTGAAAGAAATAATTCCAAGTGAATCATTCTTCGTTCGTTTTATTTTTTTTTAACTACACGCACTTTGTGTCCGATACTATCCACTTATCATTACACTGTCTTACGTGAACCTTCAACACTGTTGTTACACAAAGAATATTTCGATAATTTGCCATCTAGATAGGTTTTAAACTTGATTTAAAAATGTCATGGTAATTTCAGGATATTTTAAATAGTTATTTGTATTCAGCATTCATAAATCTAAGTAGTCAGATTATTATTACATTTAGTTAAGGAACTGACTATTGGATAAGCCTTTCAGAGGTTGTTTTCCTAGTTTCATGTGTGCAGTGCATAGACTCATGTTCTTAAAACCTTGTCAGAAATAGCATAGTTTGCTCTCATTAGATGGATAAAAAAGTATACAGCCTAATACATCAGTGCATTCTTAAACATTTTGCAAGATGTTTACTAATCAATGCGAAATTCCACTTTGCTCTTTTACTTAAGGCCAAAAAGTCAGTTAACAACTCACCAACGTGTCTATAAACTATTTTGCTTGTTCCCTCCTTTAGTTCATTGGAAATATCTATGCAATATGTATTTATTGCATTCATTGATTCACAAGAACTTTTATAAGGTTATGTGTAGACTCAGTCGCATGATATCAAGCGATAGTCAAGACAGCATTCATAGATTAGTTTTTCTCCAGTTGCGTCTACGTTTTCTAGTAATGTCTCTTAGTATAATGCAATTTATATTTATATGAGATAAATAATAAAGTTCTTGTCTCATTCTTATCTATCGGATTTACTTACTTAACTGATTCTATTTTTTTTTTAGGCAGTACTTAATGTTCAAACAGCATGTTCATGTCCTAGTTGTGAAAAGCTACCTTTACCGAGTCCTTCAATTCCATTCTCTCCAAGATGTCAGTCACGAGGACATTTACATTGTGGAGAATGTAAATGTCAATATGGATTTTCGGGCGACTTTTGTGAGTGCTCAGCTGAGGCTAGTGCTGGAGGAGATGCTGCTATGCTGGAAAAATGTACTGAATACGGTGTAAAAGAGGTAGGCTAAAGTTTAGAGTTATTCACTTTCTTCATGTGATGGTATTATCTAGTGAATTTCATTTATTGATGATAAGTCTTTCTGTTAACATATGTGAAATAATTATGCTCGTTTGTCGTCAAGTATTGAACGATGTAGTTGTCTAATGTTAAATACATTGGTCAAATGCTATCGATCAAGTGTGTATATAGCTTGCAATCAATAAGGTAGCTAATCGACATGACATTTTACACTGTGTAGTACACTTTTATTTACTGTTGGACGTTAATTAACTCGTCTTGATGTTGCTGTTACATATACGTTTCGGTTAACCAATAAAACTTAGTAAATCCTTGATGGTGGTTTTAGAGTGCCCTTGTGGTTTTGATAATTTTTTAAAATTCCTTTACGTTCCGAGTGGAACATAGGGCTTTAAGCTAGAGCTTTGAAGTTTCAGTAGCAGTGGTGTCATTTTGCACGGGGTGAGATTGGTAGCCTCATGTCCAACCTTCTCTCTTTACCAGCTTTACTACCGGCTCAGCGAGGTTTATGAGTGCATCGACCGGAGATCGAACCCCAAACAAAGTGGGTGGTTGGCGAGCGCTCTACCGCTGATCATTAATCTATATCAATTGCTCCGTCTTCTGTATTTCGATTGAAAGAAGCAAGTTTGACGGGGCAAATTTCAGTGACACAACAAAATTGATACTTATCTACTAACATCGCCACAATGGTGACTATTACATTTTAGTCCAGCCAAATCAGTGTAGCTACCATTTTATGCCTGTAGTTCGATCGTTTGTGAAACTTTTCCATTGGATTGCACACTTCAGTTGAATAGTTGTGATTTTGAATTCAGGTACTGATTGGAGTTTACAGTGTGCTACTCCAGTCAGCCCTTGAAATGCCGGTAGTTTTAATTTACATTTTCACTAAAGATTTAAATCGTTGTTTCGCACATCTTTTAAGAGAAACTGCTCTCCTGTTAGCTGTTAACTATCCAAATTTAATAATGATCTAATTGTTGGGCAAGGTTATAATGCCCGCATATATTCAAAGTTATTCTCCGCCAAGCTGTCTGTTACCGAGACAGTAAAAGTTCTCCTTCAACGACCAAGTCTTTTTCTCCCATTTTGCATTCGAGTGGTCCTTGAAGCCTGTATTTTAGCTGGATGGTTAATTGATAGTACAAGTCAGTTACTTGGCTGCAGATATGCGTCACATCTAAACTTATAAAGTGTACATTGGAATGTAACTAGTTTACCATTGACTTGTACGACCAGTAGCATAAGTAGAATACATAACCTTAGAATCAACTGCTTTGTAGTCTATCAGCAACCCATGGTTTCAAATCGTTTTATTATCATATCAGAATTAGCTTTATTCGCTTTCATTCTCTAAAATGCTGATGTTTGTTTATAGCCTTGCTCAGGTCGTGGTCGTTGTGTATGCGGAAAGTGTAAGTGTAATCTGGCTCGATATGAAGGCACCTATTGTGAATGTGATCGACATGGTTGTAAACGTGCTTCAGACGACAATCAAGTTTGTGGTGGACCACAACGCGGTACTTGTCAATGTAATGGTACCTGTGAATGTAAACCAGGTTATACAGGTGATCGATGCGATTGTATGGAAAGTGAGAAACAGTGTATTGATCCTAACAATCCATCGGTAAGTTTTACGTAAGATTTTTATTCAGTAGAGTAACAGGTCACATTTATATCGTGTTGATTTGATCAGCCAGTAAATGCCTTTACAGCTATTTATATTGATTAGATTAACAGAATCCAACTTCGTATAACCACTTTCTAGACGCTTGTGTTTTGACTGATAAAGTTTAGACCGAAGGGGATGGTTGTCTTAATAGGCCACGTATGGGCCGTTGACTTGAAGTGTGGTCTACAGGCTAGTGGAGCTGCGTTCATGCGCTATTCTATTTTTTCTGATTCCGGAACCCCATGTACACCATAGGTTTGGAATCAGGCTTTTCCTTCTCCCCTAGGTAGACCAGTCAGGTTGTAAGCACCAGACATTCGAATTCGCTCTTTTGTTTTTATGAGGAACACCCCGACTGCTTGCAGGCAATGGGTAGGATTCACCTGGCTGAGGCTATGAACGCATGGCCACATAAGAGCACTTCGAGAGGAAGACTGGAGTCTACCCACCCTCGGCCGTATAAGGTCGTTTATAGAAACCATTACGTAATTATTCCTTCTTAACCGTTCTTCGTGTTTTGTAAATCACCTATATTCTATAGTTTACTTCTGTGTGGATCCCAAAGTTAATTATGAAATTTCTGAATTGTTTTCTGTATCACTATTGTCTTTAGACAAAAAAGGATGCTCAGCAAAGGTATCTCAAGAGCTGTACAATCTCATTTTTATACACAGGTTCGCATAGTTACAGTTATTATTTAACTCAGTGTATTAAACACAAAATTAAATAATGATTTTCAGCTTGATATCAGAGTTTTCTGGTGTAATGAAAGGTGAATATAAATCACATGGGGAATAGAAACAAAATAATACAGGGTTAGAAAAATAGTTAAGAAATATATAAGGTAGTTTTTTGACGAAGACAAGTGTGTGGACTGGATGTGCATAGAAACAAACTTGAAAAATAGTTTTTACAACCGAAGAATAAAAAAATGAAGGGAGTGAAAGAAACAACTATGAAACCAAATAGTACTAAATCTATGCTAGATGTAGAGGATGTACTAATTTCTTTTGAACACATAACTCCGGCTTCTCGATGCATATGGAGATGACTGCTGCTGTTTACTTCGTAAATGGCTGTTAAGATATTGTGATAGGTACCGACGAAGAGTTCATTTATAGTGCTTCTGAATGAGCAAGGACTGCCTCTTTGCAGCCATAGTGTGCAGTGTTCTCTAATACGTTTTAAAGGACGCGTATAGAGCTACCTGTGTACCTACATAGCTCCACAGGAGCAGGTAAACTAGTGTATGCATCTTGGAGAGATCCTGCGGGTGTTTCTCCTTAAAATTATTGAGAAACAATGGACGAATAGAGAATATCACTTTTAGTATTGCTTCAGGGAAAATCTTCTCTTTAGGGCACTAGAGATTCGCCTTTTAAGGATATCTCCCTATGGGTTTTTCATTCAGTCTAGGTTTATGTATAACATTTTCTTTGGCAGTAAACTGTATTCTCCTCTTTTTGGCTTTGGTTTAATGTTCTTCACAAAGTGTGTCTGTCTTCGTTCTATACTCAAGATCACATGGCCGGAAAGAATCACCAACAAGGAACTATGGGAAAAAACAAAACAAGAACTAATCGCTCAATAAATATGCAAGAGAAAGTGAAGATGGATTGGACTCTCGCTAAGGAGGCCTCTGGGTGACATCGCGCGTCAGGCCAACGCTCGAGTGGAACCCGAAAGAGAAGCGGTGAGTGGGACGTCCAAGGGTGACATGGAGCAGATCGTGTGAAGAGGAGCTGAAACAGTATGTACTAACATGGATGCAAGTGAAAAGTACAGCAGAAGACAGAAACAAGTGGAGGCGTGCAGTTGAAGCCCTATGTTCCACTAAGAACCAAGGGAACAATAATAATAGTAATAACAAAGTGTGTCAGGTATTCATTTCCTACCAGGATCATTTTGAGATGCCAGAGCTCTTCTAAGCAGTCTATGCTGCAAATTCTTCTTCATTCCTCTATGTCACACACATACATACATCGGGTATACAAAATTACAAGAGAAATAAATTCCCAACTTTAACCTTTCTCGTAGTCACAGAAATCTGATGTCTGTCTTATTATTTAATCGGGTATTACTAAATATAGTCTTATTGGGATTTTACCTGAATTTTGGAAAAGATATAAGTGTGCTACATACTGTAATAAATGCATGAGGTTACACTGTTGAATATATATTGCAACACTAGGGTTCATGTTTCAGATACGATGGGAAATATTTCGAAGATTTTTTGGAATAGTCGAATACATTAGTAGCTGGAATATCAACTCTACAGAAAGCCATTTTCATTCCCAGTTTTCCTTTATTAGATGATAATTTCTGAGTAAAAGTTGTCAGTGTGTAATATAACCATTGATGTATGGAAAGTTTTGAATCATTCGATACAGCATTTCTGTTTTCTCTCCGTGTTTATTTGTTTTTATTCAGGGTCCAAAATGTTCCGGTCGTGGTGTATGCGATTGTGGTCAATGCTTCTGTAACAGTGGTTATACTGGTCATTTATGCAATGAAATACAAGGCGGTGAATCTGCACTGTGCACAGATCGTGATGTTGAAAAGTGTGTTCTCTGTTTACGTGATTCACTAGTGAAAAGTTTTGAAGCAGCTGAAAAGGCTAAAAATGGTGAAATTGAAAAGGCGAATAATGAAGCAGCGACATCATCAGCGGAAGAAGAAGAAGAAGAAGTATCATTGAAGCTAAATCAAGGCCAACCAAACTCTATGACATATGCATCACCAGAATATGCATTAGCTGCTGCTCGATGTGAATCTTCATGCAATGGAACAGTGGTGGATACTAGTCGTGTTAAACTAGTCGAAGTTAGTGAGCAAAAGGACGACTCAAATCTTTGCATCATTTATACAGAAGATAATTGTCGAGTGTTTTTCACCTATCGGTATTCTGATGCAATCTATGTAAATCGTAAAGTAAGTGCTTGACTGAACGGTGAAAAATAACTTTGTGGGGTAAAAATGTCCAACTGTAGACACTACTTGGTGAGCTTATGGCATCAGTCCTGCTATCAAATATTAGTCTTAATTATTCAAAGTTTAGAATAATTAACTACTGACAATGACTGCCGTGCATCAGCGTCATTCAGGGTTAGAATGCTCGCCAACCACTCACGTGGACCGGGTTCGATTCTCGGCCAATCTACTCTTAAACGTCGGTTAGTTGGTAGTCAGCCAGGCGAACGACGCTCTGTGAAACCTCACTAAGGCGGTAGTAAAGCCGGTAAAAAGGGAAGGTTGGGCGTGAGGCTAGCGACCTCACTTCGTAAAAATAAACACCACTGCTACTGAAACTTCAAAGCTCGAGGTTAATGCCCTATATTCCTAAGTTGGAAAGCGAAAGGAATGAAGAAGAATCGCAATTACCCCACCTTCCATGCGTGGAATCCCAGTGGAAAGCGACGAATAGGTCGTCCTAAGATGACATAGGGGAGATCGTGCGAGGAGGAGATGAGAGACTGTGGTCAGTCGTGAACCCAGCCGAAGGGGACAACATAGCATAGGACAAAATGGAGATGAGCTGTTGAAGCCCTAGGAAGCGCGGTTGTTGTTAACCCGGGCCCCGACCGATCCGGCATGATATTTTGTAATTTACTTTGAGTCATAGCATTGAGTTGGGTAACTGCTTTTTGTCTAACCGCTATCCAAACAACCTTTATGGCATGGTAGGACCTCAAGCGACATAAGTCTCAGCCAGTATAGCTTGTTGGGTCATTGCGGTGTTCAAGCCCGACCACCACGTCAAGGTAGCAGCTTTCTGAAGCCCTATGTTCCACTCGGAACCCAAGGGAATAATAATAATGTGCTATGTCATATACTGTGAAAAGTATCTGTTGTTCTGATGAAAGACTATACTGATTATTTGTAGTTTACTTATGATTGAATTCATCATCAAAATGATACACTTATCACTGATGTTTATTGATGTCTGTTTAAACCCTCCGCATAGTCATCTATCTGTCAGTTAGGGCATTCTTACAGTGTTGGCTTTCAATATTTATTTTAACACATACTTATACTTTAGGGAATAAAAAAGTGCTGGAAAGAGTTTCTCCGCTAAATTGTTTGTTCTTATTTCTGTTTTTTTTTGTGTTTTTTCCTTCACGTCCCCCAGTGGAACATAGGGCTTCAAGCTAGTGGTTTGAAGTTTCTGTAGCAGTGTTTATTTTACAGGATGGGGTTGCTAACCTCATGCCTAACCTTTCCTCTTTACCAGCATTATTTCTGGCTCAGCGAGGTAAAGGAGTGCGTCGACCGGGGATCGAACCCCGGGCCATATGCATGGTCGGCGAGCGTCCTAACCGCTATACCACCGATGCACATTTCCGTGTTTAGTTGGTTATTTTTCGGGCATATATATATATATATATATATATATATATATATGAAATGAATTGAAAAAAATGTCGGTATAGTTACACTTACACATACTTGTGTTAGGCGTATGAATCTATTAACTATGTTTTGGCATATGAATGAATTTTTTAAAATTAGTTATTTGTAATGTCAGATTGAATTGGGCTTTCCAATGGAATTGTCCAACACACATACACACAACTTAATAATATTAGTGGTGTATTGTTTTTTTCATTTATCATATCGTTACTAGTTTTCGCTAGCATCATCATGTGAACACATGAACGTAGAACACGAAACATACAACTGCTTCATGTGTGATGTAAACAAAATAAAGTGGAGAACTGTGTGAACTAGTTGATTGCATTTAATGTTTTATCCGTTACCTTTATATCGCAACACGTTGGGTTAGACTGTAATTAGAGATGTAGTTACGGTGATATATATATATATATATATATATATATATATATATACTACTGGTTGTTGATATGAGTGAATAGCCGGTAAGCACTCACGTCAACCAGAAGGGCTTTCGAGACCAGAAATATCTATTTAAACACAAAACCTGGTACAATATGGCACCTATAAGGTGTGCGATGGAATAATAATAAAACAACAATATATAAAGAAAATGGTGAAAAAGGGATAAAGGACTTCATCTTGGAAGAAAACAGTTATATTTGAAAAGACCAAACAGCATTCGTCGAATTATATTCAGAAAGGGAAGAGAGGAGGAAATTACAGCAAGTTTGCCACTAATTGCGATTCTTAGCCACAGATTACGTTTCGAGCCACCGATTCGAGCTATCTCTCGGACCCCAACCAGGGAGTAGTGACTCACCAGTCAATGCGAACCTAACACAAATATCCTTCATCCCACGACGCCACGTCATAAGCTGATCACCTCTCTCTCCACCTTTTCCATCCTGTCCCAGGGCTAGTTACCAGAGTCTACTACGGAAGCTTCTGGGATGACATTCGCAACACATCTCCAAGACACCGAAGCCGTTTTTTTCCAGATGAAAACACTCAACAAATGGTGATCCCCACTGTGTCCAAACACACGCCGCCGGACCACAAAATTATTCACGTGATGTTGCCATCGAACGCAGGCATTCCTGCGGAGACGGCGGTGGTCGAATACGCAGAGCCTCCGCACATCCTCAGCTCGGAGAGGCCAGGTTTCACAGGCGTTGATGAAGACAGCCCGCACCGAAGCATTGTATACCCGACTTTTGACAACCAGGCTGACGTCGTGATGGCACCAGAGGTGACTCAAGTTAACGTATCCCACACTAGCTTTCATAATACGGTTGGAAATCTCATCCATCACTCCTCCGCCAGCACTTATACAACTACTCAGATACACGAACTTATTGACAACTTCAAGTGGTTCACCTGCAAGAGTGAATGCAAGTACAGACTCCTGCCAATCTTGTAATAGTACTTTGCACGTAGACGGCACAAAGCACATACCTTACTTGCAGACACTGGTCACCAATTGATTAAGTGCGATTTCGGCATCCTGCATGCTATCGCACATTAAGACGATATCATCTACATGCTCGCAGTCGGAAATTTTCTCTCCAGGGAGCAGATCTACACCACCCTCACGCCACGTCATTCAGAAGTGATTCCAGAATGTTATCGATGGCAAAGTTAAAAAGAAATGGGGGGATTGGGCAGCCCTGTCTAACCCCACTATTTGTTGGGAACAGTGATGATAGCTGGTTGTATGCCCTCACTCTACCTGAGGTATTTCTGTATAGGGCTTTCAGGATGTTAACAAACTTCTCAGGTACAGCCGTCTCTAACAGAGACAGTTCCAAGGCATGGTTCTATCCAACGAATCGAAGGCAGCCCTAATATCAAGAAAAACAACGATTGTTGGCCTGCAATACTGCTTCTTTCATTCAAGTAAACTTTTACGTGTTTTGTTGATTTTTGTAATCGGAGCTCACCTCGTAACCTGAATGAATGTCTTGAGTTCGATCCTCAGTAGAGTCGTGAGTGCGCACTGATGAAGAGTTCCAAACTAGGACAAAGCAGCTGTCCAGTAGTACACCATGATTTTCAATGGTTCTCTAACTGATATCAATTTGTTATCAAATTTGAAAGCAATCAACTACCCACAAGTTAACACCTGAAAAGTTAGATTATATTTATTCAGTTATATTTAGAAATAATTTATACAATACCGTCTATTCCTTGTATATATATATATATATATATATATATATATATATATGTATATATATATATATATTATAATCCTTTATTTATATTTTTATACATTTCATAGGTTGACTTAAATATTATTCGAAAAAGTGAATGTACTAAAACAATCAATATTCTCTATATAGTCCTTGGAGTTATTGCAGCTATTGTACTTGGCGGTCTTATCCTCTTACTTATTTATAAACTTGTTATCACTATTGATGATCGACGTGAATTAGCCAATTTTAAACAACAAGGTGAAAATATGCGTTGGGAAATGGCTGAAAATCCCATCTTTGAATCACCGACAACAAATGTACTAAATCCAACATTTGAAGAGAATGGATATTGAAATTTGAATTTCTTTTTCAACAAAAAAACAAGCAGTCAAATAGTCAAATTTATCAGAGATTACTAGTAAAAAGCAAAAATTTGTCATCTTTATTTCCTTGAGTTCTTGTTATTATTATTATATGCATATACAGCTAGCTTTTCAAGTTTTACACGTCATATATTATATAAAATGAGCAACTGCTCTCTTTATATAATATATATATATATATATATATGCACTGTTTGTTTGTATGTTTGTGGTAAATTTGCTTACAAATAGTACTGTATAATATTCGTTTTTTTTCCTTTGAATGTATTTTATCTATTTCAAAAATCATGATGTAATATGCTTTAATTTCACTTTTATTGTCATCTTTATTTATCTCCTGGTTTATCATTTATGAACAAATTTATACAGCTGTATTATCATCTGGTTAACCGGAAAAAAAACATGTCTACTTGTGCCTTAATTCTATATTTAAAGGATTTTTGTTTATCATAGAAAGCAAACAGCTAGTGTTGGAGCTTATTCTCTCATTGTGAATTGCATATTTATTGTGTATACACGCATATACACATAGTTTTGCATGCATTTTTGTTTTATTCTATTCTGACTTTTTTAAAATTTATTCTTGGCGGTTTTATTTTGTTTCATTTTCCCGCTTTTTTGTTTGTTTTATTGCCTATCTTTTTAATATTGAACAATGATAATAATCAATATTATGGTAAATGGGTTAATATACTTTTTATTATTTTTGAAGACTACTTTCAGTGGTTTTTAAAGTGATTGTGTGTCTGTACGTGTGTGTATGTGCGCGCGCGCGCTTTTTCTTGTACTTTTTCAGCATTACTCTTAAAGGATAGTCGTCAGGTGTATTCTCTTATGTTTTTTTTTAACTTACGCTACTCGAAAGAAAACTGCTTTATCTAATAATATTTAATAAAATATAATAGGATAATAATTACATTTACGAATGACTATCTTTTTTCTGATTTATTTGCATGTTTATTGTATATGATGTTTGGTATGTCAGTGAAGAAGTCAAACAAAAATTTATTATTTTTTTCTCTCATTTCCTTACGTTCCCAGTGGAACGTAAGGCTTCGAGCTAGAGGCTTGAAGTTTCGGTAGCAGTGGTGTATATTTTTACGAGATGGGGTTGCTAGCCTCTCATGTCCAACGTGGTTGGCGGACATTTTACCGCTGTACCACCGACGCCAAACAAAAATATTATTGCATTATTCTTATTTTCAAACTGATAAATTGGATAGATAGTCGGTGAAGGTTTTCATTGCACAAATCAAGTCAGTTGTTGTAAAATGTAACAATAGTTAAATGAATTTATGTCATAAAAATATTTTGCATTACAACAACTGAAATGTTTATCTGAAATAGAAAGAGCAGTCTTAAGAATTGTACACTATTATTATGCATGTAACTGTTTTCAATATTTATAAACTCTTATTGACGTTGATTTTGAAATAACGGCAAAGATTTGTATGTAGCTCAGGTGGATGATATTGACTTAGTTGTGTTCTTTGAACTGGTTGATTTAATCGCGAAACTTTCGTAGTCCTTCTAGACAACATCGTCTTCAGCGCAGGTTTTAGTATAAAATGGACTTATTTGAATTCTCCATGAATGATGATATATAATTGTATCTGCTGGCAACCATTGTTGTGATTGGTTGTTGATTTACATCTCTATTGATCATATTTTTATTGATTTGGAATTTAAACTTTCTTGTCATGGGATTTACTTTTTATTAGCTGGTAAATTTTTGGTCTATCATAATGTGTTTGTTAATCGCTGGCTGATTCACTTGAGTACTAGGCTTCTAGAAATCCCCTGGCATTACTGTTTGGTGTTTCCTCCATTTAGAATTTGTACATTATCCCAATTAAATTGGTGTCCGTAATTATCTACATGCATTGATATATGAAAGAATATGTATCATGTCTTTTTTACGTTGACTTTACTTGATGACAGGATTTCCATTTCAAAAACACGTGATTGTTCTGATTGATCATGCTTTTCAATCCGTTAGCTTCGAGGGAAAGAGACTAATTTCAGGTGAAGCAGGCAGCTTTATATACTATTTATTTTTATGAAGGTCTTGATACCTGTGTACACCGTAAATTCGAGATCTTATCTACCCTAGTTCGATGACGTGTGTTAGATATCAAAATTCACCCTCTTACCTGTCTTGTAATAACCATCTCCATTGAGTGAATGAAAACCACCTTTAAAGTTGGAATGCAAGTTCTCACTTGAGGTTCAGTGGAAAGGTTTTAGAAACATTTAAAAGTAAACTGTCATATACTTCGTAGCATTATAATTCTAAAATTAATTCAGAGTTTGTTCTCATTCTTACATTCTGGCTTTTTTTATTGAAGCGGACTTTTTGACCGAAACTTATACTTTGAATACCCTGTTCATAATTATTATTTCACTCTGTCTTGTAACAATTCGATAAAATCTCATCTTATTTGGTTGGTGATTAAATTTACTGCCAGTGCAATAGTGCTGAAGATGCTGTCTAGAAAGACAGTGTAAGCTTTGCAACTAAACTGTCCAGCTGAAAGAACATAATTACACTAATATCATCCACACTTGAGCTACAAATCTTCCTCCTCATCATCTCTAAATGATTACGTGCTACACAACAGTCTGTCTCGAACTGCTGCATATCATGAAGGTGTATGCATGTCTAACTCATTTTCAACATGTGTTAAAAACAAATGAGTTAACTAAAACAGACTATTTTGACAAGTAAATAAGCATTATCGATGAAATTCACCATATTATTGTTATTATTATTGTTCCCTTGGGTTCCTAGTGGAACATAGGGCTTCAACTACACGTCTCCATTTGCTTCTGTCTTCTGCTGTACTTTTCACCTGCATCCATGTTAGTCCATACTGTTTCAACTCCTCTTCACACGATCTCCTCCATGTCACCCTTGGACGTCCCACTCGCCACTTCCCTTTCGGGTTCCACTCGAGCTATGGACTGACGCGCGATGTCACCCAGCCGTCTCCTCAGCGAGTGCCCAATCCATCTCCACTTTCTCCTGCATATTTGTTGGGCGATTGGTTCTTGTTTTGTTTGTTCCCATAGTTTCTTGTTGGTGATTCTTTCCGGCCATCTGATCTTGAGTATAGAGCGAAGACAGTTGTTGATAAAGGTATGCAACAGGCTGTTGGAAATATTCTTTGTGACCCGCCAAGTTTCTGATCCGTATAGAAGAACTGACTTGACGTTTGTATTGAAAATCCGAATTTTGTTGTTGATGCAGGCTGAGTGACGAAGATTTCCAGATTGGTTTCAGGTTGATGAATGTGTTTCTCGCCTTCCCGATTCTCGATTTGACATCCTCACCCGTTCCTCCTGTATTTGAGACGATGCTCCCTAGATAAGTGAATGAATTGACCTCTTTCAAATCCCTCCCGTTGATGGTGATTGGCGCTGGATGTCGCTGCTGCTGTTGTTGTTAGTTGGTAATTTTCATAACCTTCGTGTTGTCTATGTTCACCTGGAGTCCTGTCTTTGCTGCTTCTTCGGCTAGTTTGTCAGTTTTCGCTTGTAAGTCTTCGATTTTGTGTGACATCAAACATAAATCATCCACGCGCGAAATCCAGGTCTTCTAGGTTCTTCACGTCGGTCCAGGATATCCCTGTCTTCTCGTTTCCCACTGTCTGACGCATAATCCAGTCCACCACAATTAGGAATATCATTGGTGATAATAAGCACTCTTGTCTGACTCCCGTGTTTACTCCAAACGCCTCGCTAAGTTTTCCGTTGTGGATGACTTGACATGTGCCGTTGTCGTACAGCTGTTGAATAAGGTTGATGAATATTTGGGGTACGCCGTAGTACTCGAGTAGTTTCCAAATTACTTCGCGGTCAACGCTGTCGAAGGCCTTCTCAAAGTCTATGAAGTTGAGGTAGAGATTTGATTGCCATTCCATGCTTTGTTCGATGATAATGCGTAGAGTTGCAATTTGGTCAGAACATGATTTGCCTTTCCTGAATCCAGCTTGTTCTGGTGGGGCTGATGGCGTTCTGTATCCAGTGCGTCCTTGATTCTCTCCAGGATGATGCGACTCAGGATTTTGAATAAGGTTGATGAATATTTGAAATTCACCATATGTACTAATGAAACAGTAGAAGACAAAAGACTGGTAAAAGAATGTTTATTTGGAATTTAGTATCTCTATGTGGCCAAATTATGAACACCTTATCTTCAACGCACCATTTGCACAGATCTTCCGCGTTGTGCTACTTCCGCCCTTCATATTGTACTTCTTTGTGTTCTTTTCACGTTTCCCATGTACCTCCACAACGATGTATCATTTGCTTTCTCTGAAATCAAATGTATTATCTCCTTACCGATGAACGTCTCTTTATATACTGCTGATAAATCTTATCAGTAGCACACGCCACACTAACTGTAATCTATAGGAATTGTTTCGTTTGTCTGCAGTTTTCTACTTGTTGAATTTAGTCTGTTGTAAATTGAATGCTGCTCAAATCATGAAATTATATTAACCATGATGATATGAAATTGTTTCTAATCCTGTCATTCCTGTTTTAAAACTAAATGGTCTAAAATTTCGAATAACATTACTCAAATATGGTGACAACTCTTCATTTGTTCCCTATGGTCATCTGTTATTCCTTTTCTATCCTTCTTCTTCATCAGTATCATTCAGTAAGTTAGTTAATAGTTTTTTCATATATTATGTCTAATATAAGTGATGTTTTCTACATATGCAGTAGGTTTTGAAACCAACAAACTAGGTGATCTAATATAACAGAGAGACTATGGGTTTAGATGTGATTACCTGTAACAACAGAAGGCAAGAGTCAGGCAACAGATCCCTTATTAAGGAAATCAACGCATATTTATATATTTTCATGTACATTATTATGGATATTTAAGCAAACAGACGCAGTCTTCCGATTGGTTGTTTCTCACGTAAAGTTAATCTTTCATCTATTTGTGACTGTTTCTTGAATGTCAAATCCTCTATATGTTAACTGCATCCGCCTACGCAAAGTCTGGTGTTGTCGGTTTTGAATCAATCTTTGTTCACATTTTCTCACGACAAATCTTGGGAACGTAAATATTGACGTAAATTACTGTCTACCAATTTGGCTAGTAGACAGCTCTCACCACATACCTACTAAATGGTAAACAGAATTTCAATTAAATTAAAATTGTATAAAGTTAGATTTGTGTTAAGTATTTTTATTGGATCAATAAATAAAGGTCAAGTACGTATCAGGTATTATGTGTTAAATTAATATTAATACCAGTCTTTGATTGAACACTAGTTAGTAACTAGTGTAATGTGTCTAGTTCTTTGTTTGGTGCAGACTGAATTCTATCAGTCAGGTTTTCGAAGTAGCCACCAATCTAGGTAACTCACCATCACTGTGCACTGGGAATTGTTGATGTTAGATGGTTGGAGGCAATCAACAGGAAGCCTTGGACACCTAGGTTTCGTGCTAGTTGGCACTCACCAGTCAGCAAGGCTTATCTGTTGATTGTAATCAAGATTTAAACAAATGTTTTAAAAGACCTTGTGACTTCTGTTAGCAAATTTAATTATTCAATAGGATGGTAAAATGTTTTAGGTGGACACTGTAGATATTGACAGATCAATAGTCGTACATGTTGTTATAGAGAAGATACTGACTGATGGACTGGAGAGATGAAAGCTAAACAGTGATGTATGACTTTGATTTGATGATTGGTCATAGATTGATGAGTCCACCTACGTATCTTTGTATTTCTATTTGATTTTGAGTAAATACATTGTTGTTATAAGTTGGGGTTGAACGAACAGCACACTGTGATCGTTAACCCCTTATTCTACAACATAACTAGGCTTCAAAATAGTCATAGTATAACTTGACCAGAAATGTACTCACCCTAGCTAGCAACAAATATCATCAATTATAATCGGATGTTTCTAATACTGAACTCACTTCAGTTAACAGTATCTTTTGGTGTTTAGTAAAATAGTTTTCGTTATTGTATACAACATTTAGAAGACAAGAATATTTCAATTATGCAATGGATTTAAAGCATAACTGGTAAACACAGAGTATCACAACCTAAGTGAACGGCCTCCCAAATAACCCTGAAAAGCCAGTTAGATCGTTCCTGTTTTAATATCCATTCTATTCACGAGCCAATATGCAACTTCCACTAGATTTTGTTTTTTAGACTGAGGTTCAGGATCGGGGTTTTGTTAGGGTTAAAGTTCAAGAGTTAACGTTAGATTTAGTACCCATTAACAGGAACTTACATTTTTTATGATCGTCTTAAATACATGTTTCTCATTATTAGTGTGTGTGTGTGTGTTGGTAGTTCACTGGTAAAACCCTCACTAACCACGTACGTGGTCTAGGGTTCGATTCCTTCACTGTTGCACTCCTAAACCTCTTTTAGCCATTGGTAAGCCCGGTAAAGAGAAAAGGCTGGGTGTGGGACTAGCAACCCCACCCCGTAAAGACACCACCGCTACTGGAACTTCAAAGCTTGAAGCCATATGTTCCACTCGGACAGCAAAGGAATGATGGACTGTTCACGGTCAATTTGTGGGTCGTTCGTTTGGTTTCTTATACTTTGTGCTTACCGGATAACATACTGATTAAAAATATAGGAAATACATCTGATCTGTTAAAAAACCAATCTATGTACTTCTTACAAATATATTCGTGTATTTTCATTCTTAACACTGTGGATTTGTTTTATGTTGTCTGCCTGAGTTTCAATTTATTAATCGTAAATGACTTAACAGCTCATCCATCATGCAATGTCTTGTCAAAGTTGACTAAGGTAATCTTTGAAAGAAATATAACAGTATATATATATATATATATATATATATATATAAAACAGCATAGGTGTGAACCCATTTTCGGATTGGATCTCAAGTCTGATGCTTTCTGGCTCATCAGGTTGAATTTCCACCGTAGAAATATACACAGTATTGCACTAGTTCAATTTGATATCATTCATAAAAATAGGATTAAAGGGAAATTTACGGGGAAAGAATAATTTTGATGTAATGAATACAGAACATCATGAGGAGTGAATCCATCTGCGGCTTTGAAGACGATCTTGAGCCATTTCTCCAGTAGTTTCTAGTCACTCGGTAGGTCTTATAGTCTCCAGTCTGATTGTCTATAGTTTTCTACTTGGTCGAAACTAACAGTCAAGCATTTCACTGATTAGTGTCACATTTTTGTTCGACTACCTCACACTCTTTCCCAACCTAATATTGATGAGGATAACTTCCATTTTAATCGACAAATGTCGTTTAGATGTGTTTGTATTCGAATATGGCCAACCGAAACTGGTCTCAACCGTTTGTATCTCTTGTAAATATTGCCTAACACGTACATAAATGGATGCGGTATACAGGACACTTGTGTTTTGATAAAGTTCGAGTTAGGAATCATCCTTTTTCATTTACTTCCAATCCTTTTTTAGATTAATTCTAGGAAAATGCTTCAATGAAGCTAGTCAAATGTATTATCGGATTATTTTATAGTTCTCATTGAAAAAGAAACTTAAATTCTTGTGAAAATTACACCATCCTTGTGTATAAATTGAATCTTTAACAAGTAATAGAATTTTCAGAATGTACACAAGCTGAATTATTAATTCCTACAACGCTTTGATAAATTTATCAGTAGTATTGATGACTAATACCTATATTAATTTGTGTAATACTTAGATCTCTAATCGATAGTCTGAATCCAACTTAAACTATTGAACATTGATATCCATAAACTTGAACACTTAAGCATTTTTACAACACAATTGATGTATTAATACTACCTGTTGAGAAAACACTGTAGGTAGTAAATACTTGTAAATCTATTCCCTCACATACTTTCAGCACTTTTACAGTCATGTTTTTTATATTTTTAAATGCAATACTTTTCTGGTACAACCAATCTTATTTAGTGTTTAAATCCAATAATTTTCAAGGACATGCACATATTTGTACTACGCATAATGGTAATAACTAAACGTAATTGTCTATAGAAGTTATTGATTATATGTATATGGATTGTTTTAATTTGTTTTGTGTATACGCGCGCCCTCGCACGAACATGAGTCATCACTGTTTATTCAAAAAAAAATGAACCAATTTTTTAATATAGAGAAAAGAAGAATGTTTTATAAGAAAAATAATTTAGTTTCCTTTATATTTATTTAATACTTCAATCGACATAGTAGGTTCATACCAGACTGTTGTTCACTTTTCTTAAATATCAAACATATTCGATACAATACTAACAAATGCATATGTCAAAAAAAACAATACGAGGAAGTTATTGTTATTGTTATCGTTACCATTTTTTTTATTCAATTTTATTTCTTTTATTGTATGGATTGAAGAACTTAAATATACGGATGTGTTATTCAGTATGATTTTATCAAAACTTTAATGTCACTGTCTGACAGCTAACTATTATCTTAGAGGTCATAAATCTTTTTATATGGTAAGAGGGAGTGATTTTATGGAATTCATTAACATTTGGAGGGTAAGATGAATGTGAGTTTTGTTTTGTATTATGCTGCAAAACAGATCCTGAGTTAGACAGACTTCAAGACCAGTCAATATTTCTCAATGTTGTGGATGTTAAATTGCGACATTTAAAATCTTTTATTTGGATAGATGTGATTAGTAGCAATAGAATCCAATATGCGTATTTCGTCCTCTTTGGGGCTCGTCGGCTGAATGTACCTGAGACCCACGGAGACTCGAACCCAGTACCCATCGTTTCAAATGCCCTAATGTTCCAAATAGGGCTGAATGTTCATCGTGTATTCGAGTCCCAGTCACTAACCACCAAATGATGTGTTAATTCTCCAACATCGTCGAAGCGTCGGTATTAGGAGCCAACAAGTCAATAGAGGCCAAACATTTTAGCCCAGTATAATCATTCAACAGGAAATATGAAATTAACTTTAACAAAATAAAACATTTGTTTAAAAGTTGGCATTTCTCAGCATGTATTGAATCGGAGTTCACCAACTATCAAATTTCTTGGAATTAACTGAATTTACTAAGCTCTCTATTTAGAATATTTATTTCATGCAACCGGTTCCCTTTATTAGTTTGAAGAGAGAAAGAACGAACATGTTTGCAGGATAATACGAGCTCGTTTTATTTCGTGGATTCTCATCAACTGCATACATCCTAAACAAAATCAAATTATAGGTTTCAAGAAAGTTGTGGAACATACTTTTTCATAAATACTTTGAGTTATAGATAGAAGGCATAAGGAACATAATTCCAGAATTTGATGTAGGTAGACAGATTATTCGGTGTCGAAAAACAACTAATTATATATAGTGGAATTAGATAAGAGGGGTAAGAGTTCAGATTTCTATTGGAAAACAACACAGATTGGTTAGAGGCAAATTACAGGGTCAGGGTCAGAGAACAAAGTAAATTTACACATCTTGTGGTGGAGAGTTTAAGAGGGTGGGGGTGAATAGTGAAGTAACATTTTAACTTAAACAGACAAACAATTAAGTAGATTTAGAAACATGAAGGTCAAAATTGAATAGAATGTTACGTAACAAGACAAACACACAGGCATACTGACAGAAAGGCAAAACAAAAATAAAATAAAATAGAGTTAGGGTCACCAAGGTAGTGAAAGATTAATCACACTATCTTTCTGTATACAAAGGTCTGGTCGAAATCTCTTGATAGCAATGGCTTCTGCGAAGCGAAGTAGCCGTGGGTTTCTTTGTGTATTGATTATTTTGAAGGCTTGGCTGATTTCTACTGTGTGTCCTGTATCAATTAGATGTCTGGCGATTGCACTTGATAACACTTTTCTTCCTTTTGTACGGAGACTCTTGGGAATGTGCTCAGAAAATCTAGTAGATGCTGTCCTCTCAGTCCTTCCTATGTACTTGCTACCGCAGGTGCACGTGAATTGGTAAATGCAGTTGGAGTTGACGTGAGTAGGGAACTCATCTACTTTTGACTGGGTTAACGAGCATACAGTGTTGTGAAGTAGGATCAGTCTGGCGGCTGGAAACGTTCTTTTTAATGCACCTGTGATTCTTTTTTGTGTTCTTGTGGATACGTCTTCCCCTTTGTACGCTAGACAGATGAAAACTGGTTTCTTTTCAATGGTGTCGGGTTTATTATTATTATTATTACTATTTTAGTAAAATAAAGCAGTTCGGTGTTGTGAAAGGTTTTCAAGTGCTATAAATTCAATTATATTATGTTGATTTATGTTTTAATTACTTTGTCGCGATCATTATCGATTAATAATATTAAAAGGTGTCCTTGTTGTGTCTATTCTATATTGCGTTTACAGATCACTAAACGTTGTGCTCTTCTTAGTCAAATATTAACAAAACCTCAATATCATTATAATGATGCAATAATTACTACTGGTAGTAACAGTAGTAGTATAAAGCTGTTTAAATGCTTCAGTTCGGAGTCATTTAAAAAGTTATTACCAGATGAAGCAGCAACTGACGAAAGAATTACTGATGTGAAAGCGAAATATCCCAACCAACCTTCATATCGTTTTGTACCTTCAAAACCGATATGGAAACGATTTGATGTTGGCGATCAGAACGGATTAGAAACGGAAAATAATGTAAGTTGTTATGTTTCACTGTGAACTACCTACCACCATTGCGTATGACACCTGTATACTACTGATTGGTTGAAATGAGTAGTGCTTGCTAGTCAGATGGGAGTGATCTAAACAGCGGATACTGTTTCAGACTCTCTGAGCTGAGTCTACGGCTGATGAGCTCGCTCCCAAATGAGTGAAACGGCTGTCCGGTGTGTAAATCACTTCGATCTGGTCAGCAAGCACCACTGCGTGATGTGAGTTTGTGTCCAACAACTCATATCGGTCAGTTGTGCATTTATGCTTGATTACCGTCTATGGGATAAAGTGGATTTCGCCGTGAACTGTGAACCATTGTAACACACAATTTTGTTTTACTGTCGAAGCTGTGTCAGTTGTATAAAACGTACAATGAGTAGATTACTCTGTTTATATGCTCATTTCTTATCTGCTTAACTCTGAGCATAAAGTTGATGTTAACATATACTCTAAATAATCAGTTAACACGACACTATAATGGGGGGGGGGTAAGTGATATATATAATCATATGTAGATTTTTGTTGTTGTTAATAGTGATAACAATAATGGTGTTTCAATGTCAATGTTTAATCACGTGCATTCAGTTGTCAAAGTGAACAGTGATAACAACAAAATACTCGTCAACAAATCTGTGTATCATGTTCTAGTGAATCAACTACTCGTTTTCCCTTTTGTTTTGTTTTTTTGATTATAGCTTGATTCCACACCTTAGTTTTGGTACAAGTATGGCATTTTCAGCATGTGATATCGGTAGCCCAAATTTAGTAGCCTGACCATTGATATCAGGTGTGCGTTAGCTAGGGATCGAACCCCGGACCATGTGCATGATTGGCAAGCGTCCTAACCGCTGTACCACCGACACAATCCACTTTGATGTCATACATTACAAACTAGATATTGTAGCTAACACTAGTTAAATTGTATATCAATAAAGAATTCACTAGACTATATATAGCCATTAGTGATGTATTTGAACTTAGTAGGAAGCGAGTACAGATTGTTTATTATAAGGTGGATTTTTATACCCTAAGTTGATATCTCAATATTATGAGAATTTTTATTGCAAGAAACGAACGTGATTATTCTCTAGTTAAGTTAATTTTACCCAGTTACTTCGTATTTAACAAGGTGAGTTGGTGAAATTCTCGCCAACCGTGCACGTGGTCCTGGATCCGATCCCCTATCGACGCACTCTTAGATGTCACCTAGCTGATAGCAAGCCCGGAAAACAGGGAAGGTTCTCCGTGAGGCTAGCGATCCCATCCAGTAAAAAAATTTGAGGCTTCAAGCCCGAAACCCTATGTTCCATTGTGAATGAAAACAATTGATAAGAATTTTCTTAAACCACATTTTTACAGAAAATCAGTGGTGTTGCTATTTGAACCGGTCACTTCTAAATTACCGACGTAATTTTCTACTAATGAATCTTAAAGGCTTATCTAGTTAATTAGTCATCTGCATGAATTGTTTCCATTTTAGGTATCATGTGATGAAGATTCTGTATCAATTGACGATGAAGGTGTGTACTGTATTCATCGCAGTACTCTTCCAGAGAGGACACAATTGGATTTAAATTCAGTGAAATTACTTGAACAAGTATCACTTGTAGATTTCAAAGGTGAAGTAAGTTTGTCTTTTACTTTTTTTTGGCTAGCAGTTTTCTTGTGTTGTAAACTCCTTAAGAAGAATAGTGAATGTATCTGCAGGATAATACGAGCTTGTTCGATTTCGTAGATTTTTGTCAACTGCATACACAACCTAAAAAATATCAATTCACAAGAGAAGAGGAATCAGAAAACCAAATCCCATTTTTGGACGTCTTAGTCAAGCGAACAACGACAGGGGAATTAGAAACTCAAGTCTATAGAAAATCAACTCACATAGACCAAATCCTGAATTACAACAGCAACAATCCAATAGCACACAAGAGGAATTGCATACAAACACTATTAAAGAGAGCCAGGACTCATTGCAGCACTCCCACCTCAAGGAAAATTGAAGAAAAATATCTCATGGACGTCTTCCAAAAGAATGGATATCCACGGAATTTCATCAAAAGACATATACCTCCAAGCCAACCTATCAAACCAAAAGACCCCAAGGAAAGCACAATGAAAATCGCCTTGCCTTATATAAAAGACATCTCAGAAATCACTACAAGACTCTTCAAACCTTTAGGAATTGACGTCGTACACAAACCAACAAAGTCACTTCACTCAGTTCTATGTCAACCAAAAGACTCAACAGCGAAGGAAGATAAAACCAACATCATCTACAAAATAGATTGCATCAACTGCAAAAAACACTACATTGGCCAAAGTGGACGTCCCCTTCGTCTTCGTATCCACGAACATAAGCTAGCTGTCAAAAGACATGATATCCACTTCCTCATATCACTACATACAGACAATCAAGGACATCAATTCGACTGGGACAACGTTCAAATATTAGACAGAGGAAACAACAAGAATGCTAGAGAATTTTTAGAAGCTTGGCATTCCAGTGAATCATCAATCAATAGACACATCGAGATAGACAAAATTTATCAACCGATAAGAAAGAAACGTCACACACAAAGGGTCAAAGTTCAAGCCAAAGAAACAATGAGTGACAATACAAGTAACCTAGGTGTGAAAACAGACAAAAACAACCAATCACGTCCAGGAGAGGTGATTAATAAACTCGTGGAGAAATCTAAAAGCTCACTTCAAATTGAAGTATGCGCTGAAGATGTCACCCAGTAGGGTGATGAAAGCTTCGCAAATTAACTATCCAGCTCAGAGAACACAACAACATCAAAATCATCCACCTGAGCTACAAATCTTCTCTACCATATCCAAATATCAATATATAAGTCAAAACTGTATTTACCAATTCACTTGCACTTGCTACTGCAGGTGAGAGGAGAGCGTTACTACCAGAATAACTGGGTATACCCCTAAAAGTTTCCATATAAAAAATAACAAAGTGTTCTAAAGTGCAACTGCCGGATACCTGATTTCAAACTAACTTCTGTATACAGAAGTTAGATAGCATGATTAACCTCTCACTAAACTTGTAACTGTAATTATTTTTCCGTGTTTGGTTCTGTTGAGAGCAACACTTTACCTAATTTTGATTTTCCCTCACTGAATTGAACTCAAAATTATGTTTTTCAAACTTAATTATTTATCTGTGTCGTAATCTTATTTTTCATTCCCACTCTGTCGAATTTTCAATCATATTATATTTATAAATTCATTCTATTGTTCGATTTTGTATTCTATCTCTACTCACTCCTTGTTTCTATGCAGAACTCTTACTGTGAACCAACTTCTTGTCTAATTTTTTACTTTAAATAGTTAGCCTCCCTAACACTGAATAATTTGTCTGCTTACATCATTTCGGAATTATGTTGTTTATGCTTTTTGATAAATAACTCGACGACGCTGTGACAAAAGTCTGTTCATAACTTATGAAACTTGTATGTACTGATATTGTTTAGGTTGTTTAGAGTAAATAACAGCAACAACAACAGACAACAATCAACATAAATAGGAGAAATCTGAAAGAAGTAACCTCCTCTATCTACTTGGGAAGCATCGTTTCAACTACAGGCGGAGGGAACTGATGAGGATATCAAAGCGAGGATCGGGAAAGCAAGGCAAGCTTTCATTTCTCTCAAGTCTATGTGGAGATCAACAGCACTCAGCATGAAAAATAAGATCCGGATTTTCAACTCCAATGTGAAGTCAGTGCTACTATACGAATCAGAGACTTGGCGTGTCACGAAGGGCACTTCGAACAAACTACATACTTTCATCAACAGCTGTCTTCGCTCAATACCATTCAAGATCAGATGGCCAGAAAAGATCAGCAACAGGGATCTCTAGGAGCGAACCAACACAGCAGGAACCAATTGTGCAACAAATATGCAGGAAGAAATGGAGGTGGATTGGCCATACTCTGAGAAAACCATCAAGTGAGTGACATCACACACCAGGCCATCACTCGATTGGAACCCGAATGAGGCGAGTTGGTCGTCAGTGCGGGGGTGACAGTGGATGAGGTCATTCGAAGAGAAGATGAAAGCATGTGGGCAGACGTGGAGCCAAATGAAAACGTTGGCAGAGAACCGAATGCAGTGGAGACATGCGGCTGAAGCCCTATGTTCGTCTAGGAACTAAAGGAGACAATAATAATAATAGTAGTAGAGAAAATTTGTAGCTCAGGTGGATGATTTGCAATTAAAAGTGTTCTCTGAGCTCAGAGAACACTTTTAATTGCAAATAATAATAGTTACCTAAAATCTGTGAAATAAAATGGGCTCGTATTATCCTGCGAATATATTGGTTCTTTCTTTGTTTAAACTAACCAAGGAAACCAGTTACATGCAATCTTCTAGCTTATGATCCTTTTTTATCTTCTTTTTGTTTTACTAAGCAGTAGGATAACTTTCCGAAGTTCAGGTTGTAATTTGTCTAGTTTGAAGTTTCGCTTACTATCATGAAAACATACTTGGATAGAAAGTCTGTGAACCAAACAAAACATGTAATATTTCGCTTATTTAAAATCAGCTATGCGAAGCGTGTAAGATGTGAGTTTCCTTCAATTAAGAATGTATTTTATCAGAGAACAAAGCGGTATCCCGGTGTAACGGTAGGAGATGAAGACTTGGTATCTGTATATAGCCAAATTATGTACACCTTATCTTCAACGCACCATTTGCACAGATCTTCCGTGTTGTGCTACTTCTGCCCTTCATATTCTGTTTCTTCGTGTTCCTTTCACGTCTCCTAAGTATCTCCACAACGCTGTATCATTTGCTTTCTCTGACATCAAATCTATCTCCCTTCTATTTGATGTTTTTATGCCGATGAACATTGCTTTATATATATACTACTGATAAATCGTATCAGTAGCAAACGCAACATCGGTAGCAGAATCGTTTATTTGGCAAAATTATGGACAGTGAAATTCTAAGTTGTATATAGTATTCGTGTTCTGCCTTTTTTGTTTTCATTCTATGCTTTCTTTATCAGTTCACTATTTTCCTAACTTCTCTTGTTTGTAATTTAATCTGTTGCTCCTCTAATCCAGATTCAGCAGACGTCGTACGACTTACTACTTATACATTCTTGTCAGAATTACATTATTGTCGGGATTTTTTTCAGTTGTGACTAATTTTGCACAATAGGTAATTACTAGTATCAGAGACTTTCTATTTTTATTCAATTTTATTCTCTCTAGGATTGATTAGTCAATTAATAATATTAGCAGATAACTTCACTTGGATGTTTGACTAGGGAGCACGCACGTGGTCCGGCCAACGAACTCCTACACCTTGCCTAGCCGGTAGTAAGCATGGTGAAGAGGGAAGTTTGGGTGTGAGACTAGCAACCCCATCCCTTAAAAAAGCAGCACTTTTACTGAGGATTCAACACTCAAAGCTTGTGTCTCTGAGGGTGCAAAGGAATAAAATTTAAAAAAAACTAAATAATAAATAAAATATGAATCTTTGAATGTAGTTATCGTGTACACCGTTACTGTATAAAGCATTTATCCGGAACAGATTTCTTATGTGCCAGGCAATGAACCATGCTTGATATGTGGAGGCCATTGATACTAGTCAGTATCCTAGACTGAAGTAGGTAGAGTGATACTTAATCCCTGAGCTCATTATATGAAGGTTGGGGGCTTAAGCTAATGAGTCATACCATGAACTTCATGTTTACTAGCGACGCTTGTATATAACATTATGAATTCAATGTCTGCTGTGATATTCACCCTTGGAATCCTTAGTTTCAAATTGTCATTGCTTGCCTATAAGCTGATAAGACCAGCTAAAAACCAGGGATGTCCACTATCCTCATTTCTATTCAGTTTCATCATAGACGTACTAATGGATTTAACCCTAACTCACTTCAGCGACTCAGGGATTGACTATCTACCAGGGAATAATCTCGTTGACTTAGAATATGCAGATGATATGGTCCTTCTAGGTGAAGACGATGACAAAATGCAGAGTATTCTGAACCCCTTGAGTTGCAATCTACGAATGTTTAGTATGCGATTCACTCCGGCTAAATGAAAGATGATGCTACAGGACTGGACTACATTGACTCCTAGCTTAGAAATAGGGATCGAAGTAGTAGAGCGTGTTGACCACTTCACTTATTTGGGAAATTGCATCAGCCAGTGCCAACAGGTTGATCGCTGACGAAGTCTCAGCACGGATACGGAAGGCTCGTTTCGCATATGCCAGTTTACACCGTCTCTGGCGTATACGCGATATCCGGCTATCGACCAAAGGATGTGTGTACTGCTCAGCAGTTCACTCCGTCCTCCTTCATGCCTGTGAGTGAGTACTGGCCATTAAGAGTGGAGGACATGAAAAGACTAGCTGTCTTTGATCATAGGTGCCTGCATTCTGCCTCCCGTGAGAAGTGGTATAATAAGGTGAGCAATGTTGAGGTTAGGCTTCGACTGCTAGGTAAAGAGGGTAAATAAATAGACGAGGCTGTGAAGTTACACCGATCAAAGGAGATGGTTAGGAAATGTGTTACGTACGCCTAGTCATCGCCTTCCTCGATGGACATTGCAAGTTGACACAGGATAAGGCTGAAAAAGAGCTAGCGGCGGTCAAACCAAAATATGGCTTCATCAGTCAATGAAACCCACAACAGTTAGTTTAAGCCACGTAGGAAGATGTAGACTTCCTGGTTGGCGTCCTCGGGACGGTAAAAACTTATGACTGGAGATAATTGGTGATATGGCTCAAAATCGTTGTCAGTGGCTGGCGCAGATGCATCCACTCCTTGTGACTTGTAATTTCCAATGAAACTATATTGTTCTTCGTTATTACTATTCTTTTTGCCTCAAATCCCTGTCTACTGTCTCTATTTTGCATTTCTTCTCTTGCTTTGTGTGCTACATGGAGTGTGGCAACTTGAACTCCTGTACATCGGTGCAAAGTTCTATGTCGAAACAGACAGACAGACAGCTAAAATACACTGTATTAGTAAGCTCATTTTCAATAGTATCCATTACTTCCATGGTCTTAGAACTGACTTCACATGAGTTTTTGAAGACCTCGATCAGGTTGCCACAGAAGTCGGTTCGCAACGAAAACTTCTATAAAATCCACTTATTTAGAGACCTATGACTCGCACTTGTGTTTGGGAGTCCTGTACTGAATAGAATATTTGCAAAAGTAGCGATAAATCACCTAAAGTGTGTAAAACATCAACAAAAGTTATTCAACTTGAAATTTTCCTATTTGAAAGTTTTTTTATACTGCTGTGTTTCCACAGAAACTTATATTTCTCCCTGAAAAGTTGTCTCTACACAATTCGAATGTATAAGGTGGAAAAAGTGCTCATACTGCCGTAAGTATTATAGTGAATAACCTTAGGAATCGCTTGATTGTAAATACAAATTGTGTTGATAGCTCTAGATTTTTCAAAGTAGTACACTGAATACATTTTTTTATTATTAGTTTGTAACAGAAAACTACCAGTGTAACGATTTCTTTGGAGGGTTACGTAGTAATCTGCATTTCTGTTGGTCTGGTGTAATATTTATTTTTTGTAATTGTAATCCACCATGGCCGAATATCTATAAACTAAGTAATAACACGGAGAGGACTGGAATCAGCAATTCCTATTCGGTAGAATTATTTGTATTCTGTACGCACAATAAATAGAGACAAATATTAATCAGCATTTAAACAAAGTAGGAATTGAAATAGTTCTATTGTAACGGTAGAAGACAAGAGACTCGACAAAGCAATGTTTATTCGGAATTTGGTATATCTTTATAGAGAAATTATGTACTGCTTATCTCCAAATCATTATTTGCACAAATCTTCCGTGTTGTGCTAATTCTACCCTTCGTATTGTGTTTCTTTGCTTTCTTTTCGTATCTCCCATGTTTTGCTGCAACGCTGAATCATTTTCTCTCTTTGAAATCAAATCTATCTCTCCACTATTTGATATTTTTATGCTGATGAACGCCTCTTTATATACTACTGATAAATCTTATCAGTATGTCTTTTATTCCATTATCGTTCATTTCAGAAATCATCTTATCAATCTATTTTTAGTCATGTTTTAACCATTTAATGTATTTAGCTAATTAATAATTTCTTCTTTTCATTCCTTATTGTTTATTCGCCTAGGAAAGTTTAAAAATTCTTGAAGAAGCTATTCGTTATGCTGACTGTTTGTTGACAAAAGAAGCCTTTCATGGAACAACAAATGACCAGTATTTAAGCTTTGATAATACTGACCCAATAATTAGTCTTTGTGATGAAATCAATCCAGATTGGAGTTGTCCCTTACGTGATGATGATGATGATGATAATGCATCTGTTGAAGATAACTGTTCCCTGGCTAGTCATATTATGCAACATGTTCCGGATAAATGGGAAGGTTATATTGTTGCTCCATTGAGTACTGCTCCTGTTAGTGAGGATGAAACTAATCACAAAAGTTCGAAATAATAACAACAGCAATAATATTTTGTATGGTAATAGTATGTTATTCTGTAAGCACAACAACGCATGCACACATTGATTACTTTTGGTCAACCAATGAAAAAAATAAATTGAATTTGCCACGTTTTTTAATTGTCGAATATTTATGTTCTAATCCTTCTGGAAAGAGGAATCCTGTTGAATATTCTTTTTCAAGGGTTATTTGTTGCAAGTTTGACTACGGATTGATATCAGTTAGAGAACCAGGGAGTACTGGGCAGTTGTTTCGTCCCAATTTGGGACTCATCGTCAGTACACACCCACCAGTGGGGTTCCAATCCAGGACCTTCCGGTTACAAGACAACCTCCTAGACTATTCAGCCAATGGGACTTGATCCAATGGCCAGTCCATGAATTGTAACTTCTACCGATTCGTGATTTGAGAGCGACCACTAACTAATGTTATCGGCTATAAGAAAAATATAAGCTGTATTAGAGTTTGACCCCCCCCCATATTATACAGTAGTACAGAGGGCAAAACAATAATATTAACAGTGGCCTTATTCCAAACAGTACAACTGATACAGGGTGTAATTCTCAGCGTGTGGTATGATATTGCATCTGATTTTTTCTTTGCATTAAATAATAAAGCGAAAAATAATTAACTGGAACATTTGCATCTATAATAATATCAATAAAAAGTAAAATTAAAATTGTAGTTTAATAGGAATGGTGATAACAATATATGTATGATAGGAAAAATAAAAACAACCGTTTATTTACTGTTTTACAGTAAGTTATTAGTTTCATGCCTGACTGCTTCTTCATCACATAAGATGCGTTCCAGATAAGGTATCATTGGGTTTTTATGCTTAGCCGTCCGACTATGAAGTCTTCTATAATTGCTTCTATTCCTAACTAATTGGATGCAAGAGAAGAGTTGTAAATAATGAGGAGGGTGTTCAGAGTCGAATAACATGATATTCAACAAACTGCATTATTTTCAGTGTCTGTCCACAACAATATTGACGAGTTGGTTTAGTGATACCCCACTCACCCGACCGACATCTTTTATTACTCTTTGCAATGTAAAAAATGTCTTTCTGAAGTAGCTCAAGAAAGATTACGCGGGAAGAACAAAGAAGAATAGGTAGAATACAAGAATTAACAACCTGTAAAGAGTAGAGTCTGATGGATACCAGATTTTCTTAACCTCCTTACGTAGGAGGTCATAAGAAAGATCTTTCTAGAAACTAACATGATGTTGAAAGACCAGAAGTAAGTCATAACTCAAGATAGTCAACACTCGACCTAGTCTCAACTTTAGTGTCTTCTACGATACAAGAATCACGGGAACTGACCAGTTCATGCGAGTCACATTTGTGTCTGAAAATGAAGTTAAAAATTTGACAATTTGAAGGATTCCAGTTTAAGGTTATTCAACAAGGATCACCAACTAATTTTCGATAAAAACCTATTAATTTTGAAAGCCTGATCGAAAAGTAACGGAAAAGAAAACAGTCAGATCATCGGTATACTTAACAAAACTGTCTTCGTCAAAATGAGGTCATTCATCTAAATAAATTAAGTGAAAAGGCAGCGCTGAAATGTAGATGTATAAAAGTTCCAGAAATTTAGGATAATGTATGGATATGATAACCTATGTTGAATTTCATTGTGGGTAAAATTTTTATTTTGATAAATTCTTGCAGTGTTATACAGTGATATTTACTGATGACGTTTCGAGCACAATTTGTTACTCATAATCATATCAAGGTACTCACACAACTTAACAACTTCGTTCATATGGTTCCATTATTTTTCATCACTTGATTTGATTGGTAGTAGTATTTTCCATATTTCGGGTATGAGTGGTGAGTCATTCCTATTGCACGTGTTGGATATAGATTCGATGAACAAGGATTCAGTAATCAACCTCTCTCTCCACCTACCTACATTACTTCTTAGAATTTTAACCCTCTTCCACCCTATTGTGTGTGCAGTACAACTGCTGAGTAGTTTTTTCTAAATTACTTATCTTCGCGGGTGGGGTCAACCATTCTTACCTTAGCTAAATTATTATGTGCCGACAATCTGACTACCCCGGAACTACTAGTGTGACCTATGTAGTTCACCCGACTCATAGTCATTGCAAGGTATTTTGTAAATTATATTATTTTGTCTAATTGGGTCCTTTAACCTATAGAGCTTGTCCTATCTGAGTGAATTTTTAGGTTTATTAAGAACCCTACGTAGGGTCTCACATGTCCCCTCCCTATATGGTATAACTGTAGATGCCTTATATTCTCTCTTATATATGTTGTCATTATTAGTTTCCTCATTATTTTTATTTTGCTTTTGACTTTTTCTGATCTTCCTAATGAATTGTATAGGATAGTTATGTGATACCAACGCTTCTTCTATCTGTTTTATTTCATCATTTAGGTCTTTTTTGTGCTACTGCTCGGTTTTTTAGACACTTAACCAAGCCAGCTTTTACAGATGACGGATGAGATGAATTAAAGTTTCAATATCTGTTAGAATGCATTGGCATTTTATAAACGCTAGTGTGCAGTCTACCTTTTTCTGTTAGTTTTGATTTTACAGTCTGACCTAGCTAATTCTCCTTGTTCATTTTGCGTTTCAAATGTGAATTTTATTCCCTCTACTAGTGAGTTTATATGTGTCAAGAAGCTAGAGATATGTTCTGTTTTCAACACTGTGAAAGTGTCATCCACATATCTCCACCATATTTTTGGAGTAGGTTTAAATGTATTAAGAGCAATATTTTCCCGTCTGTCCATAAAGATATCTGCTACTATAGGGAATATTGGTGATCCCATTGCTACACCTTCAGTTTGCCTATATATTTTGCCTTGGAATTTAAAGACAGTAGATATGAGGCATAACTGAATTCCTAAAATAATTTCCTCAATTGGCAGCTTCGTCCTATGAGTAAGTTCAGGATCTGCAGTTAGTTCCCTTTTAACTGCTTCTAAGGCCTTATTGATTGGTATATTAGTATACAGACTAGTTATACCAAAACTAACCATTGTCTCATCATTCTCTAGTTGAATGCCATTTAATTTCTTTTTCATCTCATATGAATTAGCCTAGAGTTTGAACGATTTCTAATGGGGCATAATATTAGAGCTAAGTGTTTTGATAATTCATAAGTAGGGGCATTCCTGAAATCTACTATTGGTCTTATGGACTAACCTGGGTTATGTATTTTAATAGTACCATATATTCTACCAGCATTATTAGTTTTAGGCATTAAATTAAACCATTTTGATTCACCCAGTGACGGTTTCATTCTGCGTATGAAATCCTCTGTAGATTTCTTAATCTTATTCATTATTGTATCTACAGGCTTCTTAATTTTCTCATATGGACCCGTCTCGATGTGTTCTTCATATAGTCAGATATATCCATAACTACCATCGAGTTTTCCTTGTCAGCTTTCGCGATGACAATTTTTTTTATCCTGTTTTAGACTAATTAGAGTCTAGTCTTTCCGACTTTGTTTAGTTTAATTGTGCTTTCTCTTAATTTTTCAGGGTTAGTGCACTTTGCGCTCGAACCTCTTCTGCTGTCCTCTTATCTATTGAACTTAATGCTACTTCTGTATTAGGAATGACATCCTCTGGTTTTAGTTTACTAACTGCTAGGTTGAAAATTAGTCCTTTCTCGAGCACTTTTATTTCACTAGAGCTTAGTTCCCTTGATGACAGGTTGATCACCCACTTTGTCCTGCCAAAAAAGGATAAAACGTTGTTGTCAAATTCTTTATTTATTGTCTTCTTTTCACCTATTAGTTTAGAACAAAATATTTAGAGCGAACAATTGTTTTCAATAAATTCTTCTTCAGGCTCTACAATTATAAATCCATTAATTTAAGCATACAATAGTCAGTAAAGGCAGATTAGAATCATATCAGAAAGTGTATTGTGGAACAAATATAAGATGGGATGAAACAATAGTTACATTGGCCGTACTCAGAAGGCTTTATCCATGCGCGCACGTGGACATGTACCTGTATGGTTGAGTAAAGGAGTAACCAAGGGTGTAAATAGTGCAGTCTTAGCCCACTTGGTAGATACTGGACACCAGATAAAACTTGACCAGGCGTTCTCAGTTATTTACCACGTTCCTAGTAATTTATCTAGAGGAGCTCGACTGCGTCTTCTATCAGTAGCTGAAGCGGTGGCAATTAATACCAGAAGACCATCTCTTTGCATACAGAAGAAGTATGTTCAACCATTATGTTTACCTTGGCCTACAATAAAGCCAACAAATCCCCCATTAACACTATAAATTCCTTTCACAATTTTCTTTTCTTTTCTTCTTCTTCTATTCCTCTGTTTCATTGACAATCGTTCATTTTCGACTTTTATGATTTCATGACCTTTCTTATGATTTTATTACCTTGCTATCGTATTTACAAAATCCTATTCATTCCACTTCATTATTATTATTTGACAATCACTCACCAATAGTGCATGTAATTTTACACCATATCATCGTTATTATTTTACAATCCTTCCTATTGTCGTTATTTTCAACCTTGAACTTATGTCTAGACCGTCCCATTCGTTGGTTTATTTTCATATTGTCTCACACTGATTACACTGACTCTCGAAACCTGTATGTTCTGTTGACTATATTTATATATATACACACATCATTAAATTAAATTACTTCATCTGATTTTGTCCCATGTTCTCATTGACCATGCACATTAAAAAACTATCTGACTATTGTTCCATCCCATCTTATATTTGTTCCACAATACACTTTCTGATATGATTCTAATCTGCCTTTACTGGCTATTGTATGCTTAAATTAATGGATTTATAATTGTAGAGCCTGAAGAAGAATTTATTGAAAACAATTGTTCGCTCTAAATATTTTGTTCTGAATTAATTATGGGAATATTCAGTTTCCCTATTAGTTTGTTGGATTTCTTAATTTGTGTGGGTTTTGATTTTCTTAATGCTTTTATAAACGAAGTTAGAAAGTTGTGTGAGTAACTTGATATGATTATGAGCTAAAAATTATGCTCCAAACCTTATCAGTAAATATTACTGTATAACACTGTGAGACTACATAAAAATAAATTTTACCCACAATGGAATTATACTCTACCACAGTGCATAAGTTTTATTCTTGTA